AAATATAAGATATGCTATTTTTATTTTTAATTAAATCAACAGAGTCATTATCTTGTAAAATAAGAAAAAGAAAATTTGAAATATTATAAAATTATTATATTATTGGTTTAAGTACCATTTTAGTCCCTCAACTTATCACTTTGGCACCAAAATTGTCCTTCAGCTTTAAAAAGTACTAAAATTATCCTTGAACTTTCATTTTTGGTACCAAAATGGTCCTTCCGTCAGTTAAATGCTAGGTGGCTCGTTAAGATGCCACAAAATCACCGGCTTTTTTTTATTTTTAATGATGTGTAAATCCAGCAACAACATTTTTGACACCGTGGCATTTTTTTACACGTCAAATTGTCATCTTCTCAGTTTCTTTTTTTAGTGGGGCCCACATGAAAATTTTGTTCTCTCTTTTTCCAGTTTCAATCAAGTTCCCCAAAAATCACAAGTTATCTTCATTTCTCTTTTCATTTCCTTTTCAAATTCAAAACCCTAAACCTACTACTACTCCTACAAAATTAAAATCAAATCTTACCCCAAACCCACCCTCATTCTCCAGCTTCTTCAATGAATTCAGCTCAACAACTCAATACCCCTCTGTTCTGTTCTGTTCTGTTCAGGTTTTTCCCTCTTTGCTTCGAGTCCATTTTCCGTTTTTTACCCTTAGAATCGATTCCATGGCTACCGCACTGGCTACAACTGCGACCGCATAGCCGAACTTCTATTTAGACGAGAAGTGGAAGCTGTCGAAGAAGGAAGGTTCGTCTCGGAGTTGATCTTCAAATTCACCGCTCATGAAGAATTCGTCGTAGCAAAACCACAGTGATTCTTGAAACAAGGACACCAGGGCGGGGAGATCCCATCAAGCGGTGACCATCCCCTGTGAGAACGGCTCCATGGCCACCAGATCTGGGAATCTGACGACCACCTTTGAAGATCTGCGTAATGGGCTGGTAGCCACCAGATCTGATAACAAACAAGCAAAACAACCAGAAGGGGTCCAAAAGCCATGTGGGCCCCATTAAAAGGGAAAGTTAAAAAGGTGATAATATGATGTGTAAAAAAATGCCACGTTACAAAAAAAAATGCCATGGTAACAAAATTTTCTTAGCTGGATTTACATGTCATTAATATTTAAAAAGTTAAGTGATTTGTTGGCAAATTAACGTGACACCTGTCATTTAACTGACAGAATGACCATTTTGGTACCAAAAATGAAAGTTTAAGGATAATATGATACTTTTTAAAGGTAAGGGACAATTTTGGTACCAAAGTGAAAAGTTGAGGGACGAAAATGGTACTTAAACCTATATTATTTAATTAAGTTATCTTATAATCGGATTTTTTTTTATAATCGAGCAGTTCAGCCAGTTTGAAAATAAAACCACAAACCAAACTAATTATATCGGTTTTAAATTTTTATAATCTAAACCAACCCAATTTTATATTGGTTTGGTTTGATTTTTAATCGGATTGGATCAGTTTAGGTCGGATCAATCGGATTGGATCGGATATGAACACCCCTAATGAATAGTATATAATCAATAATTATATAATTATAATATCATATCAAATCATTATTTTGCTATCACAATATATTATTAATTAGTAAAAACATTTAATATAATAATCAGTCTCTAAATAAAAAGAATCAATCATATAAATAATATTTTATAAATGTAAATTTATAATATTACATAATATTATAACTATATATTTTGATATATAGCAGCTTAAGTTGTTTGTAATACTTTGTTATTTTATTTTGGAAAACGTATTTATTTTTCGGATCTCTAAAAAATTAAAAGAAGAAAATATTTTTAAAATAAATTATTTTAATGAATTTTTATTAAAATAATTAAAATAATTTACTTTTAAAGTAAAAATGGAAATAATTTTATCTTTTGGTATAATATTTTATTAAAATTCTATAATTTTAATATATTTTCCTTTTAATTTTTTAAAAATCTGATTAATGAACACTAATTTCTTTTATTCTTTTATCGGAGAAAGATGTTATTGCTTGCGAATTGGGTGTCAGTACATAATGCTCTGGGGTGAGCCTTACCAGATACCCTCCCAAGGCAGATTATAAGAACAATAAATAAAAACTTAGTTATTACCCATTAATTTAAAATTTTTAATTTAGAATCACAATTAAAAATTTAAATATCTGTAATATAAAATAACTAACCTTCTGATATAAAAAAAAGAGGGGTTGAATTAGGAGCAGGCGGCTTAGCAATATTGTGGGCTAATTCATTGGAAACCCTACATGCTTATATATCTAAATATGCAGGAGGGAAAAGACAAGGCTTTTGCTTGCAAATCATGAACCGCCGTTCCAATTGGTTAGAAACATTCCTCCATGGATTCTGCAACCTGCAAAGCTGGCAGATAAACGGTCTACATAATGATGTTAAAAAGGAAATTGGTTAATTTTACTCACCTGTAATCGATTTGGACTTGATCAAATGGCTCAAACTTTGTGGCCTAAGTGACACTCCTTTTAAGAGCAGAAGGCAATCTCAATTTTATGAATGCGTAGCCAATATATTGGAATTAGAAATGATTCGCACATAATAATCAATTATTTTAATAATAAACTAAAATAATATATTAATTACTATATTTTACATATAACATTTACACCTTGTTATAAACAATTGTTTTTCTTAAGAAAATCTAACTAGAAAACAATAAATTAATTTTGAAAACAATAAGAAAATCTAACTAGAAAACAACTCCCTTTATATATATATTTTTTTTCATGTGTTGATTTATAAGTCTAACAATTTGAAGATCCTTTAGTTTGAAAAAGATCCACAACGCTAATATCTCAAGATTTACCTTTTTCTTCTCCCACCATTCTCTTGTAATCCTTCTCTTTCTATTGTAAAGATATTTTTAAGTTGTAATGATGAGGGAAAAGAAGAATGTTCATGAAAAAAATCAAAGAGACAGTTTGCATCATATTTTTCTTTCATTATTTTGTGTGGTTTCTATTGTATAAACATGACAAACGGGTTTCAACACTATAGGAGAGGGAGTTGATGAACTTTCCTTTATCATTAGAATTGATGAACTCTACTTTGTTGCTACAATTGACGAACTCTATTTTGTCACTTGAGTTTGATAAACTTTGTTTTGTCACCAGAGTTGACAGAACCCACTATTGGCATTTGGGTTGACAAATTCCGCCCTTGGCACTTCCGATGAACATTGGGCAACTTCACTCTAACTCTTTGGTCGGTATAAGCTAATTCTAACACCAAAATTGAGAAAGCTTGTGTTGACACCAAAATTGACAAAGCTCAAAGCCAATTCATATTGACACTTATCTTCCAATGAGTTGCTTCAAAATTTGTCATGTCAACATTTGATTTTAATAAAAACCCTTCACACACTTTGGCAACAGTACTAGTGACAAATGTTGCTTAAGCATGAGCTTATTAATTAGAATTCACTAATTGATAAAACTTGGCATTCAATGAGTGAAGTTCAATCGCTCAATCAACAACTTCAATTTTGTAACAAGACTCATCTCGTCCTCAACATTGGTCGAAGCTCGAGAGTGACATTGACTTTTTTGTCCGCTCTTTAAGTTGTATATCTTAACGAATCCAATTCTTAGAATTTTTATTTCATGAGTTAGTCAAAGTTCACCATGTTAATTTTTAACTTGTTTAGACAGAACACCTGAACAACCTTTATTAGAAACTTAAGGAGGATAAAAATCCACATTAAAAAGTAAAACAAAATTTAGAAAAAAAAAAAAAGAAGAAGAAGGAACTTGAAAGCAAAATCACTACACAAATTCTAAGGCAATAGAGCATGCCTAGGAAATCTAGCCGAAGGAAATTAGATAAGAGAGATAGGGTAGGGTTTTTTCAGAGGGAGGAGGCGGAAAATTTATTAAAGTTGCATAGTTAATTGTACAATACACAATTCATTTATTTTGGTACATGTACTGTGTACACTTTCGTTTGCATAATTGTACCTCCTACTAATAGAAAAATAAAAGGAAAAGAGGAAAGTAGAAAAATTAAATCCCCTACACTGTTTTTCTCGTATAATTCGACTTATTTAATCTTAGTACATTTTTTATAATAAAGAAATTATCAACCATCCAATGAATTGCTTACAGGGGGTGACAGGCATACGCCGAGTCAAAATCTGCCATCTTAAACAAAGGGTGTCCATCTGTAAGCAAATGGCACCCATACGTCAAAGGTCAGTCTCTCCCTCATGATCCGAATGCTTATTTTTTGAGACAAAGGAAAAAGAAAAAGAAATACATAAGGATTATGCTTGTCCCGTGGAGATTCACTCAAATCTGAAACCCATTTGTCACCACCTCACGGATAATGCACAGCAGGCATATTAATATTCTTTTTGTGTTTTTTTACTTATTCCATCTGTATATTTATAGTTTGAATTTAAAATTTTTTTTATTTGAAAAAATTACTAATAACACAATTAATTTGTTTACAAATACCCTTTTGAAACTTTGTCAAACAAATCTTAATCACTCATTATGCATGTATCTAAAAAATATTTAATTAAGATGGTGGGTAAAAGATCCATACCATGAAAGCGACCCATGCCTATGAAAAAATGTACCAAATTTGTTTAAATTCATCAATTGATTTAACACTGTACCAACCAATTTCTGTAGAACCAACCAATTTGAAGTCTCGATGACCTAATTATATATGCTCCCTTCTAATTAAAATTAATGCCCCAATTTCTCACCACAAAAATCATTACTTGCAGATTTATAATACCTAAAAACATCTTTTTTCTAGTAAAAAAATAAACTTTTTTCGACATCTATATTTTTATACTTGCTCTTTGGGCATGCATTATATATACACTTGAAAAAAATGAAATTTATATGAGAAAAAAGAAATAAAACTTAAAAGTATTCTTACATGCAAAAGTTAAAACATTTAGAAATTCAATTTCATTGCTTTTTCATTCTGCCTTAAATTCAAAGACAGATTACATGTAATTTCTTAGTAATAGTTTTCACTATCACCATATTTTCATTAAAAAAGTAAAAATAATTATGAAATAAAACTAAAGGATGCAAATGCAAGGAAAGAAAAGAAAAAGGAAATTAAAAAGAAAACAAGAGACAAGAAAACGTAACAAATGCCTGGCTTTCCCATGTACGCCGCTAACGTTGTCTGTTGTTGGAGGAATCCTTCGCCGACTGGAAAAATATTAAACTGTTATTTTCTGGCGAGAGAGATCCCGGAACAAATTGGAGCCTTATTTAGCCAAACATTTAAGAAAACTTCCAAAAACTCCGAACATGTAGGATCGCGATGCGTCATACGTCTCTTGCCCTCTTTGCTTCTTCCTCTTCTTCATAATATACCTACCTACTTTCTGGTAAATGTTGGGGGAAGAAAGGTAGAAGATGAAGAAGAAAAATGGAGGAAAATGAAGTGAGGTGTTATGTGGGAAAAAAAGAAAAGAAGAAGAATATAAAAAGGGAGGGATCCGTAGGGAGGTGGAATCAACGGAAAGGAGTTCTTGGGAAGATGACGAGCGTTTCCCGTTAATGTTGTTTTCAAAGGTGGGCCAAACAGCAGGCCTTTCTGTTTCACACGCTGTGCTGTCTGTCTTCCTCTTCCACTTACAATAGTCAATGATTTTTAGGCCTCTTCAAATGACTTTTGTTATAGAAATTTGTTTGGTTTGGATTTATTTGAAGTTCTCTCTTTGTCGTTGGAATTGTAAAATCAGAAATCAAAATCATGACGACACGACCTTTAGTATCAAAAAGTCTATTATTTTTCTACCAAAAAAAAAGGTCTATTATTTAATAATTTAATTATAAAATTTAATATAATTAAAATTATATAATATTTTTTTATTTTTTAAAAAATAAATAAAAATGAAGACATATTAATATTTAAAATTTTAAAATTTTTTATAAAATTTTTTATAAAATTATTTAAATATTCTTTATAAATATTTTATATATATATATTGATTTATTAAAAATATTTAAAGAGTTTTATATAAAGCCTTGAAATTTTAATTTTAGACTTTCTGCTATATCTTTCTCTTAATGAATTTTTTTAATTTATATTTTTTTATATTAGTTGCACAACAAGAGATAATTTTTTTCATATTTTATCTCACCTCACTTATATGTCATATGATTCAAATTCATGATTTTTTGCTTTGAACAATACTACCAAACCATTTAGGTCGTTGGTTTAATTTGTATTTTTAAGATATAAACTAAAAATATATTTTTTATATTAATTATTATTAAAAAATTAATTTTTATTTAATTAATAATTTAATTAAAATAATTTACATGATACTAATAATAAAATTAATATTAATTTTATTATTTTTTACATTAATTAAAAATAAAAATATA